AAATTTGGTGTAAAAAAAAAAAAAAAAAGAAGAAAAAAAAGAGACAGAGAAAAGCTCCAGGTCTAGAGAGCGAGCGGAGAGGGAGTCGGTCCAGTTGGGGCGCCCTTCCCGGTCCGAGCGCTTCGCGTCTCCACTGAGTCCGCAGGCACCCGAGACCTTGCCCAGAGCAGGCCGGACCCCAGGCACCGAGGCCTTCAGGGGTGCGGGGCTTCCACCACCTCGGGAGCTGTCCGCGGAGCAGCCCCCGGCTCTGCTGCCGGAGCCGCCGGCGATCTCCAAGCGGCGATCTCCAAGCACTGTTCGGCTCGGCCGCGGGCCAGGAGGGGAGGGTCCGGCCTTGCCCCGCTGGCGTCCATTGGTGGCTTTCCCCGGCCTCCGAGCCATGCCGCGGGCCGGGTGAGCCTCTGCAGGCTCCAGAGCCCGCAGGTGCCGCGGACGCGCCAGGCCAGGTTCGGGAGGGGGCGCTGCACTCGCCATGCTGCAAGGGCCCCGGGCCCTGGTTCCAGCGGCTGGGCCTCCCCCGAAAGGGGTGCTTGCCATGAGCCCCACCGAGCTGTGGCCGCCCAGCCTTAGCAGTCCCCAGCTCTGCCCAGCCACCAGCACCTACTACACCCCGCTGTACCCGCAGACTGTGCCTCCCGCTGCAGCACCCGGCACCTGCCTCGACGCCACCCCCCACGGACCGGAGGGCCAAGTTGTGCGATGCGTGCCGGCAGGCCGGCTGCCGGTCTTGGAAACCCCCGCAATTCCCTCTCTGCTTTTTAGGGTGTGCGAAAGGAGGAGGGGCGCTTGAGACCCAGTGTGAGTGAAACAGGTCAACGTTCCGGCAGGGGGAAGATGGGCTGTCAGAGAAGTGAGAAGACCCCCTTTATTTTCAGATTTGGGGTGAAATAACCTCATCTGCTGGAGTGGAGTGGAATGAGCAGTAGATCGGGAGTCTAGAGACCCAGCCCACCACCCAGAGCAGTGTGTGACCTTGGGCAAGTCCAGCAGCCGGCATGCCACCATCCATTCCTTTACGGCTTGCCCAAATCAGCGCTGGTACCTGCAACTGCCCAGACGCAAGGGCTGGCCTGGGGGTGTGTTGGGGGCTTTGAAAAAGGGGGATAGCTCTGATGGGACTCTCAGGTCCAGTCTGGGTTGGACAAACCCCAAACTGTCCAGCCAGTCAGCTCCTTCCAGAGGCTGCCCCAGGGCCTCCCCCAGACAGCCTGGAGCAGAAGCCCCCTGAGGGCAGCCCCCTGGGTTCTGTTCCCATTAGCTGTTCCTTAAGTCCTTGGGCCTGTTGCCAGAGAGGGCCCAAAGTGTGGTGGCACCAGGCTGCCTGCCTACCTGGGCACAGGGTGTGTTCGTGGAGTGGAATTCCTGGATCCAGACAAGCTTAGGGTGGGGGTGGGGTGGGAAAGGCCCTGGCAAGTGGGAGCAGGGTGGCTGGGGAGCCTGGTTTCTGGCCCTGGCTCTACTACTGATTCACCACGTGTCCTTGGACAAGCCTTGGCCCCAGTCTCGGCCTCCGTCTCTTCTTGAAAATGTGTGTGGAGTAGCTGTGGAGCTGGCACACGCCCGTCCCCTTTCAGCGCCCGGTCCTGGGTGTTGGAAGCAGGCTGCAGGGAGGGGAGGTGGGGCAAGGTAGGGTAGCCTAGTGGTGGGTGCAATATAGCACTTCGGGAAGAGGGATTAACCCTCTCCCCCCGCCCCAGGGCATCTGGCCAGACCGTGCCTGTCAGCAAGTACAGACCCCTGGCCATCTTGGCTGCAAGCAGAGCCCTGCCCCACTGCTGTTGGAGCAGTCTGGGCCCGCGCTCGAGCCTTTAGCTTTCCCAGAGCCTCTTCTGCACACTTTCCAGCAGGGAGGGCAGGAGGCAGGAGTATTATCACCCCCATTGTGCAGGTCAAGCAACAGAGGGTAACACGCCTTGCGTTCAGCCTCTTACAGCCTAAAACATTTCTATAGCTTCTTTGTTACAGGGGGAACTGAGGCTCAGGGGATGTGACCTGTCCCAGGTCACCGGCAGCCAGGTGATCAGGAGTCTCTGCTCTGTGCAGCCCTGACTTCCCTCAGTAGGGCCTGATTTAGCTGGTGTCCTCGGGGAAGGGGGCTGGGTGGAGGGCCAGGCCCTCCTCTGGCCAGCTGCTCTCAGACATGGAGCTTCAGTAACAGCTGTGGTTTTGAACTGCTTTGAACACTCCCAGAGGAGCCTGCGTGCATCTCTGTACCTCCTCCCGGAGGGGCTCAGTGATCTTAGCAAGAATGACCCTCTTTCACTCGGTGCCTCTCATGTGCCAGGCACTGCATGGCACTCTTCAGTCATCATCTTGGTCAAGATGCCCGGGAGGAGGGACGAGGAGACTGAGCAGAGAGTGAAGTCCCTTGCTGAAGTCACGTGCCAAGAGGTGGGGGTACCTCCTTGCCTCAGATCACCCTAAAGGACAGCCAGCCCCAGAGCCTCTTCTGCCGGTGGTCCCCCAATGCTCATGGCCCCCCGCCCCCAGGGCAGGCCTGCCCCTGCTTACTCATTTCACGAGGGTGTGACCTGGAACAGCTCCAAACCCAACCCGGGGTGTGGCCCTTTGTGGCCAGGCTGCAAAGTGCAGGGTGAGCAAGATTCGCTGGGGAGCTGCAGTTAAATGGACCCCAGGCACGGCCCAGGGATGGCAGTCTAGCCAGAGGGAGAAGAAGGCCAGCACCCAGGCTTCCCTGTCCGGCTGCTTTCCACCACCCTTTGGACAGGGCTCAGAGGCCATCTTTCGTTGAGCCCCTCCTCTGGCCGGGCACATAGCTTTACTCTGATTCGGCCTTGCAGGAACTGCGGGGATGGGATTCTGCACGCTTCTCCTTCCCTTTTTTTTTAAGTTTTTGTATAGGGTGTATGCTTTTACTAGAGAGGGTATGTGAGAGAGAAAGGGAGGAAGGGAAAGTGAGAAGTCACCCACTAGAGGGGATAGCCACAGTGCGTTCCCTTCTCTCCCATTCTGCTCTTGGGATCTGGGCAGCCATGCACATGTGCCTGGTGTTTTTTTCAAGATGCTGGGTCTGGGACTCGAACCATGTAGTCGGCCATGTGAGATTCAGCTGCCTTAACCACCATGCCACTGGCTGGTCCTCCTTCCCTTTTTTTTTTTTTGGAGAGATTTTCACTGTAGGGCGCGTGCGCTCGCCAGACAGACAGAGACATAGAGACAGAAAGCGAGAAATCACCCCCCAGGGGGGATGGTCATGCCGCAATCCCTTCTCCTCCATTCTCCTCTCAGGATCTTGGGCACGCACGCACACGCGCCCGGTGTGAGTTTTAAGCCACCGGGTCCGGGACACAAACCGCGGTCGACTACGTGGGAGTCCAGCGACATAGCCATTACGCCAACTGCTGGTTCCCCTCCTTCCCTTTTAGTTTGTATTTTTAAAATTCCCTCTGAGAGCCAGAAAAGAAAATAAGCATTTTAGCAACAGCTCTCCCAGGCAGGTCAGATGAGGAAATGTGGGCTCAGAGAGGTGAGGCAGTGCGCCCCAGTTGCCCAGCCAGCAGGTGGGAGCTGGGATCTGGAAGCAAGGCTCAGCTGCTCCTGTTCGCCTCTACCCCATTGTCTCACTGAGGGCTCAGGCTCCACTCTGACCTTGGCAAGCCACTTCCTCTTCTCGAGCCTAGTTTTCTCGTCTTGCTGCTTGTGAGGGGTTGTACCTATGGAGCTCTGGCTCTGCATTTCTGGGGCTGCCTGAGTAAGGAATTGGGGTTGGTTGGGTGGGCTTCATGCCCAACCAGGCCCTGAAGATCCAGATGGGAGCCAGCCGGCCGCTGTGTGTGTCCCCACCCTTTGCTCTCCGTCGCTGTCTTTCCACCCCGCTGCTGGCTGTTCCGTGCTGGCTGCTCCAGTGCTTGAGTGCCATGACCGAGCGTGTTGCCGCACAGACTGGCTGAACCCTCGGCAGAGGACTGTAACCGTTTACAGGAGGCTCCAGAGGTCAACGGACTTCCTGGCCCACCGGGGGGGGGGGGATGCCTCCGTGTGAGCCCAGGTTGGTCTGCCTCAGGCCTGTGCTTGGCTCCTCCTGTGGTGACTCTGCCACCTCTGTGCTGCAGGGGCAGCCCATAGCAGGCTGACTTTCCTCTGGGCAGTGTCCTGCGGTGGGGGACACTTTGCTGCTTAGGGTCTCTGGCAGTGCAGGATTAGGGTGAGGGAGAGTGAGAAAAGGGCAGGGGCTGGTGTGTGTGTGTGTGTGTGTGTGTGGGTGGGTGATGGGGGCAGGTGGCAGAGCACAGCATTGGACCAAATTCCAGCCAGTAGAGCACAGAGCTGAGGCAGCCTCGTACATGGCTTTGGAGTCAGAGCTAGGTTCAAACCCTGGCTCTGCCCCGTCTATGTGACCTTGAGGGTGAAGCTTAACCTCTCTGAGGCTGTTTCTTGCCTGCCGAGAGCAGTGGCCAGTACCGATGTAGGACTGTCGCACGTAATACAGGCCCAGCATGGGTGTTCGGTTCAAGGTCCTCCCTCAATCTTCCTGCCCTGCAGGTAGTAGGTTTTTCTGGCATGTTCTGGTGCGGAAGGAGGCGCTGGGACTCGGAGGCTCCACCTCTGCTTCAGGTAGAACTGAGCCTGACCATCTGTTCCTCTCCCTGCTCTTGCTGTTCCTTGCGAGGACAGATGACAAATCTGGGATGGGCAGACTCGGTCAGAATTGAGGAGGACCTGGAGCCAGGACTGATGAGGTCGTGGCTTCAGTGGTCAAATGAGGATTAGCTGAGCCGGGGAGATGTGTGAGGTGGTGAAGGTTGGGGCTTGGCCAGGGCACGTACGAGATCTCAGCAAGTGATCGGGTTTTTCTTCGGTGACAGGATGGGGCTAGATTCCTACAGTCCACGATTTCGCCGGTTAGGAGGGTAGAAAAGGCATTTCCAAGACAGATTTCCAGAGGAATAAGTAGGGACATGTTTGGGTTCTGTCCAGGTCTGGGTAGGAGTGGAGGAGAGGGGCATCAAATCCAGGCTCTTCAAATCAAGGAATAGGGCTCTTCAAATCAGTCCAGGAAGACTTCCTGGAGAAGGCAAGAGTCAGGGGAGCAGGAAGAGCTGTCGCCACCCCTACACCTGTCAGCCCAGCTGTGCTCTGCAGCGGTTGAATGTCTCAGCCCTGCCAAGCATGACCTCACCGCCAAGTGTTAAAATAGGCCCCTCTGTCCCAGCCAGGGCAGCGGTGTCTAGAGGATGGAGGAGGAAGGAAATGGGTTTAATGACCCCCAGGAAGATGTGTCAAGACAGAGGGCAAGATTGGATTTTCGGGAAGGGACTTACCACTTCCTGAATATCTGCTTTGTACTGAGCTGGGGGAGGACTTTCCACAGGTTACCTCCTTGAACTTTATCATCAACAACCCCTCCAGGCAGGTGCTTTCTGCTCCGTTGTACACAGAGGAACCTGAGGCTCCTAGATGCAGAGCATTCCGGGAGTCCTGTGAAGGCGCTGGAGGTTGGAGCCTGGGTCTCTGACCTGCGCCCTGGTGCCCCAGTGCCCCAGCCCTGCCCCTGCCCAGCCCTAATCAGGAGGCAGGCCCTTTCCGGGCGGTGCAGCTCTGGGCCTAACTGGGGCCGGGTGGTGG